CTTTCCCCGAGCACAGCACCCGGTCAATAGAGATGTATTTCGTGCAACTCTCAGGTCAGATACAGACATAATGACCGGGGCGTGGTGTTCGGGGGAAGAAGGTCGTGAAGCGGCGATGGAGGACGGGGTAGAGTGAAGAAGACGAATGAGCGGAGGAACTAGGAGATGACAGCAGGGAGGGACGATGGTTTATACGTGTGACATTGAAAGCCTAAGAACGACATAGTAGAGGAAAGGACGAGGATGAGGGAGGGGCGGACGCCGGGCAACTCTGCGGGGAGACGGGAAGGTAGGAGGACGGCGCGGAGGAATTCCTCGAGGAGACAAGAGAGAGGAGAAAGGAAACAGAGGGAGCGAGAGGGAGGAGAAATTAAGCGGAGGAACGAGTGCGAGCGTAGTCATACTAGGAATTCCCTGAATATCTCTCAGCGCAATTATGGATCAGAATGCATGTATCTCACTGCAAATAAGGCTAGAAACCAGTCGTGAATATGGCTTCAGATAAACCCGCGACTGCAGAAAGGAAAGCGGGAAATATCAGAGAGAGGAAGCAACGAGGGTAAAAGCGCGGGAAGGAATCGAGATGGAGCGGGAGAAGTGAAGTGCAAGGAAGTGGAAAAAGATCGCACGAAGGACGAGATGAGGACACAGTAGCGCGCGGAGAATTCCGCGCGAGAGGAGGGCAGCATGCACGGAATAGCGCGAGGAGTAGCGCGAGGAGTTGCGCGCGGAAGAAGGCCAAATGTGCGCGAAAGGAAGCGAGCATGCGTGGAATAGCGCGAGGAGTAGCACGAGGAGTACCGCGCGGAAGAAGGGCAGAAGTAATTTCACTCGCGCTCTCTCGTCACCCCACCTGCTCTGTCTCCCATTACTCCGCGCACATCTGGCCTTCCGCGCACGCTGGCCTTCTTCCGCGCGCTTCTCGTCTCGTCCTTCGCGCGCTCTTTTTCCGATTCCTCGCACTCTTCCCCACCCCATCTCGATTCCTTCACGCGGTCTATCGTCCCACCACCTGCTCGTTCTCCCACCACTCTGCGCACATCTGGCCTTCTTCAGCGCGAATACTCCGCGCGCTACTCTGCCCTCACTTCTCCGCGCGCTACTCTGCCCTCACTTCTCCGCGCGCTACTCTGCCCTCACTTCTCCGCCAGCTACTCTGCCCTCACTTCTCCACCAGCTACTCTGCCCTCACTTCTCCGCGCGCTACTCTGCCCTCACTTCTCCGCCAGCTACTCTGCCCTCACTTCTCCGGCCGCTACTCTGCCCTCTTCTCGTCCTTCGCGCGCTCGTTTCCAATTCCTCGCACTTCTTCCCCCCATCTCGACTCCTTCCCGCGCTTTTCCCCTCATTATTTCCACGTGGCGACGGTACTATCCTCCTGCGTGCCGGAGTGTCAATCGCGCTACGTGGCGGAGTGGCGATCGTGCCAAGCGGCGGAGTGGCAATTGTGCCAACGCGGCTAGACACATAAGCGGACGGATAAGGAGGTTAAACGGGGAACACCACCACACGTACGAAAGGAGTCTGAGCAGGAGTGAGCCACAGTTGGGAGACGGGGGAACACAGCGGGAAGAGCGAAACCGTGGAACTAAAAGACGCGCGCAAACGTGCAACCTTCGTGCGGAATGGCGAACAAATAACCACACGACGAAGGTGGGGGTCGAGGAGGAGGGTTTATCAAAAGCAGAAGACGAGAGCAGTCATTTTTGGGTGGAGAGAGGGGACAGAGAGACACAGAGAGAGAGAGAGAGAAGAACAAGCACAAACACAGAAACTGATACAAGTATCAAAAAGAACACTGCGAAAGCGCAAGGGATATACCAGTCTATGGACTCCGGGCAGATACGCCCCCTATCCCCCAATACCCGCCGCCCCTCCCCCCCCCCAAAAAAAACACACGCGAGCTCCACAAGGACTCCGAAAGTCCATGCGTCTACCGACGATACAAACGCACAGCAAATATGAGACATGACATAATCCGATCACCCAGGGGCGATGCATAGGGTGAAAAATAGATAGAGTATTGTTAGACGTATAGGACGGAGACAGAGAACTAGACAAGCACGGAGATGGAGAGGGGGAGGGCTGAGAGTGCGCAAGCAGCTGAAGGGGAGGAAGGCGAGGGGAAGAGAGAGAGAGATAAAGAGAGCTGAAGGATTCGAGAAAGTCATGGAGAGAGCACAACTTGTGAGACGGGCCACGACGGAGAAAGGCATGGCGTCAAAGAGAAGAAGACAGAAAGAAGGAAAGAGATAAAGAAGGAAAGAGAGAAGGAAGGAAAACGAGAGAGACAGAAAGAGAGAGCGGTGGGCGAACGCAATGCGCTACAAAATGTTATGCGCGGAGCTGTCGAGATTCTGCACTTCCTCCTGAAGACGCAAGCGCTGACGGGAGTACGGGCCTCGCCGCTCCACTGGTCAAACACCAACAATTTGGATCTCTCTATCGAGACCACCCAGTCTTTGTCCCGATTCATTGAAAACGTTGGCGTTTGGCGAGTGGTGCGGCGAGCCCCCCTATACATAACTGCGGTCGTTCGCGTTATACATAATCAGATTAGATAATCCGCCTTCGCCTGCGCGCGCACATCACCCGTCTCTTCCACCCGCACAAAAGCGCAAGGGTTCTCTCTCTTTTTCTCGATCGCTCTTACAGAACGCCGTTATATCGTTATCCCTCCCCAGTTCTTTTTTCTTTCCCCCCCTCCATTCAACCCTTCAAATAGGACGGTCGTATGTCCACCAACTGGCCTAGCTCAGTTGGTGTGTGACCGTCCTATTTGAAGGGTTGAATGGAGGGGGGGAAAGAAAAAAGAAGTGGGGAGGGATAACGATATAACGGCGTTCTGTAAGAGCGATCGAGAAAAAGAGAGAGAAAGAGAGAGAGAGAGAGAGCAACGCTGAAGATGTCCGTTGCAGTGTGGAGCATAGACCGGTTTTCACTCCGGATGAGGCGGCGGTTTCATACTTGGCAATCAAGGATATACAACAATATACTAGGACCACCTGGCACGTACCTGACCGCAAGCGAAATACTCGTCAAGAGAATTAGTCCCGATAAGCCGTTTATTCTCTCAACCACCGAACGACACAAGATTTTTGTCGCGACGCCATAAACACAAACATGAAACGCTTGGAAAGAAATTTACGGACCCATGTGATAGATACGACGCTGATCAACGGTACATTGAGATGATTGATTAGGCATGGAAACGACAGAAAGAGGAAGCTGAGAGAAGCGGGCGGAAGAGGCGACAACGGAAAGAGGAGAGAAGAAAATGGGTGAAAAGAGGCAGAAGAGTGAACAGGACGAGGAGAGGAGAGGAAGCGCAGAGAAAAGGAGAGGAGGCGAAAGGGACAAAGAGGAGAGGAGGAAGACCAGAAGAACAGGAGCGCAACAGGCGGAAGAAAGGGGGAATTGAGACAAATAAGAGCGGCGCACCGTGTGGAAAGACAACAACGAGAAGAGCAGTAGGCAAGGAGCAACAGAACGATGGGGAGAGGGAATAGAAGGGGATGATGGAGTGGGGGCAAAAGTGGGAGTTGGGGCCCTGAAGGACATCACGGAGGGAGAGAAAGAGTGAGATAGGAGAAGGAGAGCGAAGTGCTCACACACCGCTAATCCCACGAGCGTTCCTTCGCTTCACAGGGCCTCGCCGTCCCGTTACTCGCAAAATTCCACGGGTGATCGATCGCTTCACAGGGCCTCGCCAAGCGTATAATATGGCAAGCTCGTCTTCAAAAATCAGAAGGTGGAAGATGCACTTCCCATTACTTTTATCGTTTTTATATTCGGTGACTGATGAAGTGATTGCTCCGCTGCCAACGTTCAAATTTCGTTCCCGGTTTGATTGAAAATACGAGGAAAAGGAAGGAAGGGGAAAAGAGCGCCGCCGGGGCGGGGGGGGAAGGGGGGGGGCGTGGGAAGATAACCTGACCCCATAACTGACCCCATAAAACAACGATAATTGCCATCGTCGAAGTTCAATTTTATTTACGGTTTGATTAAAAATACAAATGACGAGGAGGGGGACGAAGGAGAGGGACTCTCCACATGCACAAAATACAAAAAATACGGCGGTGTATCTTCCCAGATTCTAGCGGAAGATTCATTCTCATTTTACACATCTGCTGAGTAGTCGAGCGAGGCCCAATTGCCATCATCAGAGTTCAGTTTTATTCAACAAGGTTTGATTGAAAGTACGCATGAAGATGAGGAGGAAGGGGAGAAGAAAGAAGGGGGAAGGTAGACGGACTGGGCCACAGTTAGGGCCTAGTTGCACCACTCGCCGCCATCCGCCAAAATTCTGAATGAATCTGAACAGCGGATTTGTCCTGATGCATTCAAAATGTTGTCCGATCGCGAGAGTAGTGCAACTACGGTAGGTCCTTAACAACAGAGTATCAGGGAAGAAAAAACGACGGGGAGAAGTTCTCAGAGAACAATCGTTTGAAAACTGTCATTGGTATCGCCAACCTAACAACCGCCAAGATCGCGGAAGGCATACTCGCGCTCAGACTGTCCCGACTGAATATGTCCGTTATTGCCGTCAAATACGCCCTCCTAACCTTTAAAGCCATCCACAATTGAACACGTGTCCGCAGGTGTTCATCTCTCACCGACCTGCAACACGTTTCCTGGAGCCTCGCCAGACTAGTAGCGACTCACGGAACGCGAGAAATCGCGGGCGCATGCATCTTCACATAGAGGGTGGCGAGATGCATCAGCTGCTATGAATAGTGACAAAGGTACCTGGCCACCTTCTGCGTGAACATGCATGCGCCCGCCATTCCCGCGTTTCATGAGAAGTGCGGCGAGGTCCTTGGGAAGGTCCAGGCGGGCGAGAGCGAGCGAGGAGGAACAGAAAGGGCGGGAAGAGGAAGACCAAAAGCGGAAAACGGAAGACGAGGGAGGCAAGAGGAAAACGAAACCGGAAACGACAAAGAAGAAGGAAGATAAAAAGAGCGGGAGTAAGAGAGAAAGACGACCGCGGAACTCACCAGTTTCGCCTGCATGTGGCTGGTCCCGAGAGTCGCCATATCTTTCCCGCCTTTTTTTTGGACTCCGATTCTCACAGCTCCGCAAGTTCACGATCCAAGCTCCGATCCGATCAAGTCCCGCCAATTCTGCGTAGGCGGGGTTCGTTCGCGTTTGCTTCCCGCCGACACGCCACAGCGGAGTTTGTTAGCGTTAGCGTGCGCGTGCCCGATGCTCTGCGCCTTTACGCTTACTGAACAAAGCGATCGTCGTTCCGGTCGGAATAGCGCGCAAGGCGTGAGACTGCGACGCGTGTTTGCACGGAGGATGGTCGCGCTGCGCGTCGACACACGAAACTCCGCGGCCTCACCGGCGTGACTGATTCGTCAGACTTCCACGGTATCATTACTCAATCCTGCACCGCGGGCACAGTACATGCTGAGGGCAATGGTGCGCACGGGTCTGCTACGATTCCATCCACTGGGCCCTTTTCCATGGCCAGGAAACCCGGTTGCATGGCGGACAAACCCACTTGTGCATGCGCAGGGCCCTTTTGGGCAATGGGGAAGGGTGTTGGACGGACCATCCCATGCCCAGGTAGTCGTGTGTGTCGTTCAAGTATTTGATCTCATTTGTCATTGTCATTTTTCATTTCGAATGGTTAGTACATGAGTTTTTTTTGTCATCTAGTGGAGGTTTCTATTTTCAGGTAATATCTGTCTGTAATATCTACAAGTCCAATCAAGCAAGCTGATATACCACGCAAAAGCGGGGTGCAACCAGGGCATGCGTAAAAAAGCCCGGACCGGCGCATCTCCGCCGGCGCAAATGTTTGCGTTAGGACCAGTTGCATTTCCGCCGGCAACGGAAGGAGGGCTCTGACGAAGGTGTCTACCAGCACGATAGCGCCCGAGTGGAGGGTGTACCCGTCACCGAACCTTGAAGTATCGGGCATGGCGGTCGCCATGGAGGGGATACCCGCAGACACCCGGTATCCGGACCCAGAAAAGACTTGAAGCCAGTAAGAGAGTAGAAATGCGAAGAAGCCAGAATAGACGGAGTAGAGACATACAATCGCCGGAGGGAGACTAGGAGAATTAGGGTTGACATCAACCCGAAGTTGGCTTCGCAAACAACAAGTAAGGTAGAAGAGGAACGATGGCGGAAGAAATGGCAGGAAGAGGGGCACGATCTCCTCCACCAGCACCGGATCAGCCAATGGAGGAAGATGAAGACCTGATAAGGGAACTCGCACGGCTCTGCTATGATGAAGGCATCTTCACAGGGTCGATAGACCCGGGGGAGACGACAGTAAATGGACGAGAAGTCACCTTCAAAGTCAACGCAAGGATCGATAGAACAAAAGTCCAATGGCTCAAGGATCATACAGTGACAGTGATCTTCAGAGAGGGAGCACGGTTTCTGCCGAGGAAGATAAAAGACGACGTGGTCAGAGCATACGAAGATGACCGACTGCAGGACGGCACGTTCGACTCAACAACCTTTCGAAAGAGGCAGAGTCAAAGTGGAAAGCCCGAACGTGGTTTCGTACGTGGCAAAGAGTACTCAGATCAAGGAGTGGCTCTTGCAGAAAGGAAGAGATGAAGTTGTATTGGGCACGACGAAGTACGTGTTGGAGTTCAAGTCATGGCTGACACAAGCTCAACTAAAGGAGCAAAGACGTCAGGAAGAAGAGGCTAATTTCTGGGTTGTGGTTGTTCAAGTACCATTGGGAGCGATGCTATACCTAGGACCAAAAGCGGCAAAAGCCATTGGCCCGGTCATTCACGCTCATCCACCGGAACCAGATCGTCAGAAACCCTCGTTAATCAACCTCAAGTTTGACTTGGAGCCATCGGCGTGGTCGAATATAAAGGATAAAATCTCGGTTGTTACATTTGAGGGGGACACTCTGATTGTGAACATGGCGTCATCAAACACCCAAAGATGCAGGCGGTGTAGAGCCTTCTTTCACGATGAATCGCAGTGCAGACGAAATCGGCAAAACCAAGGAAGCTCACAAGGGGTACAAGGCGACCCTCAAGGCTCATCGAGAAGACAACCAAGTTATTCGAGCCCGCTAGGGCCAGGACAAGGAGTGGAACCCGGCCCGAGTGCAACAGGAGGCGTACAAGACCATGGGGCGACTCAGAGTTACAACAATGCAATGTTCTCACCGGGGGGCAGATGAGGCGTAGACCAACCAAGATCGATATAACAAGTCTCTTTGGCCTTTGGGCCATGGATCTTCCCGCCGGACAGCAATCAGCCCCCATTATAAGGAGGATATGGCATCCCATACATTATACCGGATGAGAGATCCGGGTACGGAGTGGGAGGAATTGGGTTAACAGGGTATGCTGGAGCATATGGAGGGTATGGAGGGATGGCGATGGGAAACGGTCCTGGAGCTAGTTTCTTAGGGGGAAGAAACCCCGGAGGTGGGAACTTTGGAGGGACTAGTAGAGGAGAAACTCCGAGAGGGGAAGAGGACCAAGAAACACAAGACACGACAGAACCAAGGACAGGTGGATTGGAGGAGGAGAGACTTAGACAGGGCGAAAGGGGAATGGGTCCAATAGGACGAACAGGGCTGCGAGGAGGGTACGAGAGGAGGTCGCCGGGAACAGTGTATGGAAGGAGTACCTCAGGAGGGAAAAACACAGACGCTAGGATCCAGCGAGGAGCAGCGACGGGAGAGGTTTATGGATATGGCCAGGAGCAAGGAGGTCCAGGACAAGAAACTCTAAGGCTAGGCAGACTGCAAAGATAGAGGTCGCAGAGTCGAGAGACCGGAATAAACCGAAGAATAAGTCAAGAAGACGCAACTAGAAATGAAGGAAGGAACAAATCGATTCAAGGGATACCAGGGAAGCAGAGGAGGTTAAGCTGGGAAGGAAGTATGGTTTCAGCGATTAGAGGAGAGAGGTTAGAGTCATCGGCATCTGACGGGGCGATGGGTACATCGGGCTCAAAAACCACAAGGAAGAGAACACCAGTTGCGGTAGGAAGTGGCCAACAAGATTTGATCGAAGCAAGAATCCTACCACTTTTCTGCACGATAATCAACGGGCACCTGCAATTCCTCGCACGGGAACTGCAAGACGGGACATTAAACATCATATCAATTCCATCCTCGGAATCACCGATGCCGACAATGATTGCAAATGCAATAAGGACGGCTATTGCACATAAGTTCGCCTTCAGGTTAGTCCCAGAATTGATGACTCCTAGACTACTCGTCGACCATCCGGAGAATGGGAAAAAGGTGAAATTCTTTACCCCCCTGATAGATGTGAAATTTGTAATCGGGCAGGTTGAAAGGTTGGAAAGGGAGGAAGGGATGCGCTTACTCCCCCTCAGTTGGTTGGTCGAAAAGAAAAAGCATGAGCTGAGTCGGGTGAGAGTCCCCCCGTTGAGATCGGCGGAGTTCCTCGTGGACATAGATAGGAAGCTACCCTCGGCGAAGAAATTTCACTCACAATTCCTCCGAACACACCTGACGGGACCGTGGCTCCAGACGGACCCCTTGATCCAATTGGAAGGGGTCAGAGGGGCAAATGGGTAGGGTGAAGTTGACAACGTGGAACATGTGGGGTTTGGGCGATACGCGGGGAAGGTTCAAGAGAGAGAGGTTAAAGTCATGGATCCATGAAAATGGAATCCAGATGCTCTGCTTGCAAGAAACTAAACTAGGGGAGGAAAAAGTGCAATTGTTAAGAAGATGGTGGGACTGACCACAACTGTGGTCTCCAACGCAAGGAACAAGAGGGCGGGTAGGAATACTGAGACACAGAAGGTTAGAGGCGGTAATTATTAACTTTTATGCGGATTTGTGGGGACGATGGGCCTAGGTTAAGTTAGAGATCGATCGGGAAGAATGGTTGATAGCAACGATGTATGCCCCAAATGATCAGAAAGAACGAACCGAGTTCCTACATGAGTTGGCGTATATTATTCCGGACTGAAATAAGGTTGTCATGACAGGCGACTGGAATGCATTATTGGATGTGACAGGAACAGGCCAGGGGAAAGCCTCAGACAAGGACGCACTGATGAACGTGATGGTTGAGTTTGGATTAATAGACCCGTACAGATTGACCCACACCGACAAACCGGGCTTCACATGGTGTTCTAACCTAAAACCGGACGCGGAAGTCATACGAAGGAGGCTTAACTTATTTTTGTTGTCAGAAAGCCTTTGGGAATCGGTAGTGAACATTCAGGAAACTCCGCAACCATTCTCAGATCATAAATCGGTAGGCATGACAGTGAGTACAGAAAGAACAAGGAGGGGAAGTGGACTGTTCAGGCTGAACACATATAACTTAGAAGATTCGAGCCTAAGAAAGTGGATGAAAGAGTTTTGGAGAGATTGGGAGGAAGCGAAAGGGAGGTACCCATCGCTGGATAAATGGTGGGACACATGGGTGACGATCTTTTTGAATCAACTTAATGTGTTTTTACGGATTCTAGCTTGGGAACGAAGGAAACAGGAAAGTGAACTGAAACGAAAAATAACTTACGCAGAAGGAAGAATGGGGGAACATCCAATCTCCAACAAGGTTTGGGGAAAATAAAGGGCTAAGTTAATGAAGGAATGGGACGAGTTCCAAATAAAGAAGTCCAAAATTTGGGCAGAGAGGTTGAGAATAAAAGGAATAGCGGTCTATGACCGCATGACGAGAGAATCATTTCAGGAACTGACACCAAGAAATACCTCAGTTCCCATGAGCGAAATAACGCACCCCTTCGATAAGAAAGCGGCGACTGCAAAAAAATTGACAGAATTATGTAACTATGCAGCCCTCTATTACAGAGATATATTGACATCCCAGACTCAAGGAAGGGAAGTGGTAGCCGATCTACACGAAGGAAATTCTCACTGGGTCAACACAGACACAAGATTGACTCAACAAGGAAGACTTGACATGGACAGACAAATAACGAATGAGGAAGCCTACGCGGCCCTTACAACCATGTCGAAAGGAAAAGCATCGGGTAACGATGGACTACCGACCGAGCTATACCAAGAGATTTGGGATGTGCACGGTCGCCGACACGGCAATGGCCACGGCATCGGGCTCCACACCCGTGCCGGCGGACCAGGGCCATCAACCAGAGGGGGATCTGCACACCCTCCTCACCTCCCTCCTTGCGCCCATCCAGGCGCAACTCGCGACCCTCGCGCCCTTTCAGGCGCAGGTGGCGAACCTTGCCGCCGGCATGCAGCAACTCCAGGACGCTGCGTGTTCGTCATCTCCTGGCTCCCAGTCCGGGTACCCCGTCCTCCGACAGGGTGGCCACGGCGGAGCTTCCTCCTCCGTTGCCCCTGACCCGACCATCTTGGTGACTGTC